AAAACAAAAGCGAAATAAAAATACAAAACAAAAGCGAAATAAAAATATAAAACAAAAGCGAAATAAAAATAGAATTTTAAAGCGAAATTAAACTAACGAAATCGGGTTAGGCGGATTTACCAAAATTGAGAGATTAACGAAATTATTCTTAATCCGGTAACAATATCAAATACCGTTAACGTTAGATTAAATTTAGAACTCGTGTTATTAAAATGATAAACCCGACTCGAGGGTCGGGTTAAATAACCCGGGTTGATTCGACCGGCTCGGATTTTATAAGATGCAGATCTTTTTTTTTGACACTAAAAAATTTTAAGTAAATTTCGTCGTCGTAGTCTTGTCCGACAAAATCCGTGGTTTTGAGTAAAAATTCAGTACTCGTTTTTTTAGAATGCAATTTTTTTGATTGAATAAAAGAGCCTTATTAAATAAAACAGCCTTATCGTTATTTTTGCATGACAGTTTAGATAACTCACTGTTAACTTTTTTATTGGCTAAAAATCTTGTATTTCTCATAACGAGAATGGCTATAATTCTTGTGATAGTTATTTGGAATTGCACACTAATCACGCGCTTGAAGAACTTGGCGATGAGAATCTTCTAGCTTTTCTCAAATTAAACAAGTAAATAAAAATAAAGGTTCGATGATCAACATGCAATTCTTGTTTATTTTAGATAGTAACGATATTTCTGTAGAGGTAGGGTGAGTTAGAGACTCGAATTACTAATTCTTACGACTTCACTGCAAATATAACAAGCACGTGCCAAATCTATTTCACGTTGAAATACTTTCGTTTTTAAAAAAATATCATGACTTTACGATCTCATAAATTATCGATTTAAAATCAAAATGCAAAGAAATAAGTACCAATTTTGAATTCAAGTTTAAAAAATATAAAAATAAAGATCGCTAATTCTTCTGGGTATCAATGTAATTGTGTTTTACTATCTTTAAACATGTCGACACAATATCTTATCAATTATGGTTCTTTTATCTTTTTTATCATCTAGTATACCGACATCTACTACACACTCTTTAAGGAATAGTTCCAATTTTTTCTGTCTTTCCTCTAATGCTGTTATTCTTGCTTCTTCACCATTTTTTTCTGTAGTGTCAGTATTATCTAAATCAGAAAAAATTTGACCCAAGTTGATGCGGAGTTTATTTCTGACCTTGCTCTTGACTCCTGGCAAGGATTGAATGCAACCCAATGGACCTATGATACTTGCACCTTTTGAAAAAGTTTAGTTAATGGGTTTTATTAATAAATTGTATATAAAGTAACAGGAGCAGATATTGCAACCTACCAAATAATATGCCATAGAATGTTTTGGTAGCACTATGGAACCCGCCGATGGCACCGAAGATGTCAACAACTGTTAAAGTGCTGTTTCGATAAAAAAAAAGAAATTACAAACAAAGAAATCTTAAAATAACACGAATTTGAAGTTGTTTGTCTATTACACTTACGATATTTCCTTCTCTGTTTCAACCGCAAATGAATTAGGGCGCATTTCAAGCACAGTAATAGCTCCATAACCAGCAGCAAAAGATGCAAAGGTTTCTGAACAAGGGTAAAAAATGAAGTTCCTCTTAACATTGAATTAAACATAAAAATATTCATCGGACTTACGTGTATTGGAAGTAATATACGGGATTATGTCATGTTTCGGATTTCCCGAGAGTATGTTTACCGGATTGTCAGTAAGTATATAGCGTACACTCTTGGCAACCCTGAGAAGGTTATACTGTATGGTGTAAAGTATGTTAATAATTTGCAATAAAAAAATAACGTTAACGGTTAATATAGTGCGTGAACAAAATTATATGAAAGAAACATACTTGACCATATCCGAGTGATTCTCGATTGTTGTCATTAATACTAGATACAAATAATGTTGCGTCTTTGTTGCGTTTTTATCGACTACAAAAGATCTTTATTGCTTAGTATTGCTTTAGTAATAATGCTGCAGTCAATATCAGTGGTCAAATAAAATTACCTGGATAGTAAGGTAGTACTGTCATAGATTGTTTTCCCAGGTTAGAGGAAGTGTTACGGATATTGAACGAAATGACTGCTAACCCAGAAAGATTTTTTTTGATCATAAAATAAATCTGTTGAATCAAAAATTGATCCGATCCATTTTTATAGATTGATGATATTCTTTCGCTACAATTCACTAGAGTTGGAGTTGAAAGGGGGGGACTTCCATAGGAACTGGCCTGAAAAGTTGAATAGAAAGCAGAGGATCAATTATACCGAGATCTTGAAAGTATATCAGTTTTTTTAGCATACTCACTATTCTCTGTGAAATTGCAACTAATTGTAAAGTTCATTTCAAAAGTAAAGTTCGGAACTATGAAATAAATTAGTATTCCTTGTCTTTCAATCATTTGAAAGTGTATTCCTTATAGTGTCTGTACATGGTGCCTGAATCCTTGATTCCGAAAGTTCGGGGTAGGAACTAAATTGTACTGAACTTAAAAGAAGTCATTTTAAACTATTAAAACAAAAAAAACTTTCTGATGTTCGCGTATATGTTAAAGTTTCTGTCTCTGGCTTAGCTGGAAGATTTTCCAACAGATAAAGATAAATAAGCAAAGATAGGAAATTGCATAGATAATACGCCTCAACCATGTAATCTTTCCTAGTTCTGTTATTGGGAAATTTAAGAAAAACATGGCGCTTGAGAAAGTTAACAAAAATAAAGTTTCTCGAAACTACATTTTATAATCGATTTAATAATTTTTCAGTTGATTTTTTGTGCTCCTTGCTAGACGTATTGTTACATTGCGCCTAGTATCATTGTCGCTATTGTCGACATCCATAAATGGTTGACCTTCTATGTAGAAAGTCAAATAAATGCACATGATGTGGTATGCCCTTTGGTGTTTTAGTCTTTCGAATAACGATAACGATAATTGCCAATTTTCCAAGTTAGGTATAGATCGATATCACGAATGTGTCACGTAACTCATTATCGTTATACGTAGTTCTTTTGAATACCATGATGATATTTTATTCGAATTTCTTATAATTTTTGATTTTTTATTCGAGTTTCTTATGATTTTTGATTTATAATTATAAAATGAGAAGGATATAAAGAGCGCTTCTTTTATAAGAAACATTTGTTAGTTGAATAATTAAGCGAAATTGTCAATAACTATAATGGGATATTATTAGTGATGGGCAAAATGCGGTTTTTAAATTTACTATACGTACTATTATACTTGCTACCCAAACTCCAAACCTCTAAATGTCCACTCAAATCCAAATCCCAGATGGAAAAAGACCATAATCCAAATTGGAAAAATTATATTTGGGCAATCATAATCCCAAACTTTGGTCAAATCCCAAACTCTGGTCAAATCCCAAACTCTGATCAAATCCCAAACTCTAATTAAATTCCAAATTTTAATTAGTTTAAATACATTATCATTATAAATTTTGTGTGAAATAAT